GAAAAGAAGTAGCTTCGACGCCATTGTTGAGCAGTTTCAGAGCTGCGCAGATCTGTTCTGTTTCTCACTCTGCCTTTTTTGAAGTCCTTTTGCTACTCTACTGCCTCCCTCTCTCTCTCTACAACAGAGGATTAAGATAGAAACAGGGGTATGAGTATGTCAGATGTGTTGTGTTCAAAAAGCAACACAAATATAGAAAAATAAAGAATAAATAATAATATCAAATCAAGTTTGTGAGGACTAGGAGAGAGAAGAAGAAATATGTAATTTCAGCAACAAACCCCAATTGTAAAAATATAAAACAATTAATAGTTATGCGTAAAATTAGCAACTACTCTCAGAGATGTTCAAAAAAAGTGACCAACCTGACGAACCCAACTTAATCCGTGGTCGAGTTGGGTTGGAAAATTCTGAACCCTATCGGATCGGATTGGGTCTCAGATTGACTACTAAAAATTATAAATTATAATACCTTTAAAATTTTCATCTTTAATCTCAATCATGGATTGATTTTACTCTCCACCTTTTGTTTAAGGGTTTTTTTTCTCATCTTCTTCCCTTTCCCTCATTTTGAATCTCTCTCTAATCTCTCCATCCCTCATTTTGAATCTCTCTCTAATCTCTCCATCTCTCCTCCCACTCATGCTCTCTCCATCTCACCTCCCATCAAGTTCTCATTGTCGCTGCCCTGCTCCACGATTGCCGCTCCGCCGTCCACCCACTGCTTCATCTTTCCCACTCAAGCTCTCACCGCCGTTGCTCCATCTCTCCTCCACTCAAGCTTTCACCGCTCCGCCTGCCGTACAATCATCGCCCCACCGCCCCTCCGCATCAGATTCGTTGTCCCTTCGAATTTCTGAAGTTATAATGCTACATTTGAGACTTCACTTATTTTTTTTGTTATTGAATATTTAGTTATTGTTTTGTTGAAATCATTATGTTTCTCAGCTGTTCATTTATTTAGAAGTATTCTTACTAAGACAAACACTTCAGTAACTATTAGATTAGTTTAATCTAACCCTCATGAGATAAAAACATGATTTTAATTTTTATATATTTTTGTTGGCCTAGGTTATAAACAAAATAAATAAAAAAAAAAATTTGACAACCCGATAGCCCAACCCAAATTTTATGGGTTGGGTTGGCCATCAATTTGGGTTGGGTTGGATTCCACATATGGCTAACCCCGAAAATTCGGGTTGGACCCAAAAAATCCCTAACCCAACCTGACCCGATCCAATTCACCCATGAACATCCCACCCTTGACTTCTCGTCAGTTTTATAAAACTAGCAAAAATAGGAGAGTGAGCCCATACATGATAAGAAAAATATATAATTTACTCTAAAATAACTCTCCCACAAGAATTATAGTTATTGTACTTTTATTTAAAAAATTATATTGGTATATCTAATAGGGAGTATATTGAAATAAAATATATATCTTATTTGAAATTGATATAACGAGTGATATACAAATTTGAAACATAGATGGTTCAAACTTCTTATCCAACGTAGAACTTATTAATGAAAAGAATTTCAAAAAACATTATCAATGGACTACAAATGAGATTAGTCCGCCTTTCATTTTTATTTGTTTATTATTATTTTTTTAATTTTACCCACTGAAATAATCCTTTAATTTTCTTATTTTTTAAGTTCCATAAATATGAGTGGAATCCACATCTTCCAAATTGGAAGATAATATGTGTTTTGTTTGCTTAGATATTGATTTTCAATTAATATAATCTATTAGACTCCAATGTTATTAAAAAAAAAAGTCAAATTAATATAATCCAATTCGGGTTGGATTTCTACTTATTGACGATATTTGAAGTTTTTCGTTGCTGAAATTTTTTCGACTGTTTATATGGCCATGAAATAAAAAATTTCCAAATTTATCGTTGATGTTTGAACTTGTTGATGCCAAACTAACTAAGGACCAGGCTAGGGCAGGACAAGAGGTAGACCCACCTGGGAGGTCCGCCCGCAACGTAAACACCGTCCTGCCCCCAACACACCCGAGTCCCAATAAGACCAATCGAGGTCGAAGTGAGACTTCAAAAAAGATTTCTCAAATGGCCTCGACAACTGCAGATCCTGAGGTTCTTGCTACCTTCCAACGGGAGTTAGATGACATGCGCAACCGAGTGCGCACCATGGAAGAGACATACAATGAGATGATAAGGGCAAACCGGACGGGGTCCCGTTCTAAGGCCCCAGGCAGGACAGACGACCTGCCAGAAGATGGAGATGACCAAGATCCCCCCATCCACCCCGATGACTATGAGCACCAACAGAGGGATCGACTACAGTTTGAGGGATCACGACCTTCGGAAGCACCCCGTCGATAAAAAAAGGAATGCCTTGCGGGGCCCAGGGGTCTCTCCATTCTGTTCTCACAAATACTCAAACTCCGACCTCAAGGCCCAGTCGAACTATAAGCCATTAACATCGGAGGCAGTGATTACGAGGGAAGAGTTCGACCTGATGAAGTACAGATTCGACGAATAGGTTGAGGCACTCAAGGCGAAGTGCGAGAAGAAGGGAAGTCCCTTTGATGATGGTGAGATGGGTGAATCACCATTCACCTTGTTTGGGGAAGAGAATACCCTGGACACGTGGAGGACCCCTATTGGTGCTCCAAGATGACTCATGAGTCATGCCCAGTTCGGACGGCCGAGATCACCACTACTAGCGTTGACAGATGCTAAGTATGAGGGCCGAGGTGAACCTGGCCGAGGTCCGACCTACCGGGAAGCTCGGTGGGGGCCGATGCGAACTACTGTCAGCGGCGTGATTATCGGGCATAATCGTCGGTCCCGAGATTACCGGGTGTAATCGACGATCCCGAGATTACCGGGTGTAACCGTTGCGAGATTAGCGRGACTACCACCCATAAGTAGAGGACTTYACTCCACGATCAGGTACGATGATTTCTGGCCTCGAACTAAACTGGGAATCCGACCTATACTGACTTGATCGTCGGAGTGCTCACCTTTTTGTGCAGGTCCGCCCAA